CATCAACTATCAGTGGAACAACTCCTCATTCCTTTAGTCCTATGCTTTATTCTCCCGAGGGACCGGACGGGTGTTCAGGGTTTCAATATTACCACCAATGGCTTAGTCGGGGGAACTGATCGATCAAATTGGCTCGTACACTATCTACTCTCCGCTACTAGGAGTCATGTCTTGCCTTGCATTAACTAATTCTCAAAATGTTACCAGTTTTTGTCCACCGATTGGTTTTGCGCACGTGATTTTCACACACACACTGGGATCGCTCTTTTCCAACACTTCTGAACATATGCGCATTGTAGGAATCATTTCAGCATCACGGAAAGGACTGCACTACTTGCTGGATTCTAAGGAGTGCAAACGGACTGGAAATTTTGTTGTCGTGGTTGTCGGTGGTGCGCCGGAGGCGTTGGAAGCCCGGCCGGGACGCTATGTGATGGTCACAAGTCAACGATTCGGATTCTTCAAATTGGCTCTTCAAACAGGGTTAGTCGTTGTTACTGATTTCTTTTATTGATCACTCACGTGATTGTTATATGATCCCGTATATTAATTCACAAGACGATGAGGCAACTAGCGCTTTGCAGATCGGAGTTCACGTCAAACGTTCTGACATTAGGAGACCGTGGCGACACAGCATGACATGTATTCCGTTCGATTTTTTACATTGACGTAAACCGGATCAGTGAAATGCGAAATTTAACAACAATATCGGGTCCTTTAGTAAACAAAAAACCCTAAGATCGGGAACAGTAGACATACTGAGAAAGAAATTAGGACTATATCTTAACACTCAAAGTTAGTATTTCATGTTTCCTGTGCTCAATACCTCGTGGAATGTTTCCGTTACACGCAGTATAGCGGGAAAATTGCCATGGGAATACAATCAACTGAACCTTTTGTTAATCCTAGTAATGGAGCAAATCCTGGGGCATACTTAAGTGCAAATACTACGCGGTACCAACTGAGTTAATTGCTTTAGTTGTGCTACTCAAATCATATCTGTATGATAAGCAGTTCTGGTTCCGATTGGTCTCAGGATAGTTGACTTTTAAATTGATATCGGGAAAATTACCTTTTTGATATGGCCAATAAAATTTGTACGCACTTGTCACGGCGCTTGTACATACGCGTCTCTCAATCTCTTTCATCACAGCTGCTCTACCACACTGAACAACTGTCGTTGTTGAAATATAGTGTCAACACAACAACATATTTTCCTTACTGAATCACCAGTGCTCGGTTTCTCAAGTCATATCTCTGGGGGATTTACGTTAAAAAATGTTCAGTTACAAAGCATGCGGTAACTATACCTTTTCAACTTCACTTGAAGTTACAAAGGATTCACTTGAAGTTGAAAAGGTTTAGTTACCAGGGCTTTATTTTGGTTTGGTACTTCAGTAACTAGTTATCTTTTTATTTTTGCAAGTCTTTCCTTCCCACCCTGCTGACTCATTCACTCTTTCTTACAGGACGACACATATTGGCGTCTATCAATCTACTTACCAGATTATAAGTGATGAGCTTCAACTCCGTTTGTTTATTTGCAAAGTATGATTTGGTCGTTGAAGGACCTCATACGAGAACCAAATATTTATGTTACAAACATCTTTCCGCTTAGCGCAACAGAGTCTGTCATCCGTCATGCAGTGGGATTCCAAATCCTTCAGACTCAAATTGTTCTTAGTTTTTTCCTAATGTTTTCGGAATCAAAACACTTTTGTCTAAGGCCTTTAGTTTGCTCGAAGTGCAAATTCGAGCTTGTACTGTTTAAGCCATTTCACCATCAATACACCAGTTTGTCGAAAATGGTTGTCAACAACTCGGGGTTCTGTATAAACATGAATTAGCCTCTTAAAATTCTAATCACCAGTTCATTTTGGGCCATATACAATCGCCAGTAATTCTTTCTCAAGTTGTGCCGACCTCTGCTCACAAATGATCAGCATTCTTCCCGAGTAATCGATTGGGTGTCCATCATACAGGAACACCGCCCCTAGACCAAGGCACGGTGTGCACACACAGATAGAATGCATTAACCCAGCGATTGTTTGACTGAATCATTTACAAGCCTTTACACTTTCTGTTTGCTCCGAGCAACCAGCCGAGTTTTTTTATCGTTGCTCGTTTAGGTCGTCGCAGAACAAAGCAGCTTCAGTGGAGTAGGCTGACGTGCTGAGAACTAATTTTGGCATGGTATTATCGAAAACAGTCGAGGTGAAATGTTCACCTTGGGGCTCTTTGTTCAGTGATTCAGGGTACTTGCATTTTGAATTGCTTTTATACAGAAGTCGGCTTTTCTCGTTGGGCGTAAACCAGGCCACTAATTCCAAGACATGGGATCGGTTTTAGTTCAAGTATTCTGAATTTCCTTTTTTTCGGTAGTATGAACCCACAACTTTGGTGTGCAGAATTACATAGGTATCCAGTTCCTTTTCCTTCCCAGCATGCATGTGTGTATCTATACACTGAATAACACACTGACGACGGTCAAGTATTCTGAAGAGAACCTTCTCTATGTCCCTGAACTAATCGACAGTTTTTTTCAGTCATCTCATCCTCGGTTTGCTGTCAATATGGCACTTTTCAGACAGCAATCGCAATTCTGTGTTTTATACTTACCGAACGTCTTTCGGCAACCATTGAAAAATAAACTTAATCACCTCACCGTCGAATAGACCGAACCGGGACACTAGAATAATTGACCGAGATAGTACACTCGAGGTAGGTAATCCAAATATTTTGCGCTTCAACTTTCCCAAGTCTGAGAATTCTGATTTATTTAAGTGATTGATTCAATTGCATGTCAGTAAATTCCGTCTGCGTTATTGAAGTAAAAAAAAATAAAACAATCAACAGCTGCGGAATGCGATAACATCTATTAAAGTGCCGTTTCAAATGAAAAAAAACAAACAGAAAGGAATGGTGAGCAGTAAATCATCTGGAGCTGTTACCCATCGATGGTACTGTCGAAGGCCAAGGTGTTTGGTCTCTAGTTTGAATATCTTCCGAAGTGATTGCGACGTTGTTCCATCTTGATAGGAATGTTAGAGAAACGCCTGTTGGGAATGCGGAGATTTTTGATGCCTATCGCGTTTGAAGTAATACACGGCAATAACAATTTATGTGATGACAAAGAAATTCATTGTTAATTGTTCCCCGAATTGTTTTCTTTTATCTAAGGCCAGTATCCCAGTATCCCTGTTTCGGATGTGAATTCCACGCACGCTGATAGTATCAAATATTAGTGATCCTCATACAATTTCGACTGAGTTGGGTCTCATCAACAGTACGAATCCATTAACCCAACCGGGAATCACACGCAGGATATCTCAGGTAAAACGGAAGAATGCCACCCAGTTGACAGCGGCGCAGCTCATCAGGCCATTTTTCATTTTGTCCGTGTACAATTTGGCACAACAGGTCTTTGTGAGTTTGTTGCGGGCATCACATGTAGCTCATCACAGATCGAACTTCCGGGGTTATGACTCGGCCGAATCATCTAAACCTGATCCTCAGTTGAGTCGATGAATTTGCACTACTGATAAGACCAAACCGGGTTGATTACCACATTGCTTTATACGAAGAAGGGTCAACTGTGGGTTTATTTTGATAAACTAGGCGTTTCTCTCATCGTATTGATCGCAGGCCGTTTTCTCTTCCGATCGGTAAAGTTTGTTTTGAATAATGAAACTGAACACAGGAATGTGTGCGAATTCTCGAGAACCAATTAACGTGTAAAAGAAGTATCCATTTCCATCAGTAACAAACACAGTATGCATGTCTGATGAGTTTCAACAGGGACGAACCAGCTATTCGGTGCTTTTTTTTATCAACCTACACACGAATCCGTTATAGAATAAAATAGTTTCCCCAAAACTGATTTATGTTTTGTGTCAATTAAGCTTGTATATCCCTACATACAGATTATTTCGGAGGTGAATGATCAATAAATCTGTGGCAACACGCATTCCCAAATATCTTTCATCCCATGGAACTATGGTATTTGTATATCAAATCTTAGCATACTGTAAGTAAAGTATTTATCTACATGTGATGGAAATGTTTGTGATTACGGACAAAAGCACCGGACAGCTGTTTCGTCCTGTTTGAAACTCGTGAGCAGTGAGAACGTTTTGTGTTCCTGTCAGGACTCGAACCCCGAACCTTCGGGTTGGAACTTCAAACCCTTACCCCAAGAGCGCCTGGTGCCTCTTGAGAATCGAATGAGCTAATCCAAGTTCGCTACTCTAAAAATCGATTGAGGCATTCGCACAAGGTGATAACCGTCGACCGTGTAGCTCAGGGGCAAGGGTTTGAAGTCTCAACCTGAATGATCGCGGTTCGAGCCCTGACAGGAACACAAAAAGTTCTCACTGCTCACGAGTTTCAAACAGGACGAAACAGCTGTCTAGTGCTCTTTGTCGGTTACCACAAACATTTCCGTTACATGTAAATGCATGCGATTGTGGTGAATTAAAGATCTCCCAAGGAGTGAAACCCACACCCGAGAGTGCCTGGTGCCTCTTAACAAGCGAATGGGCCAATCCAAGCTTGCTACTCTAAAAAAAAGTCTTTATCTGTTTACACTATGAATAAAATTTGCATTAAAGATCATCATGTTCTTTCGTTTGCCTATTATACTTGTGTTTAGTTTGCCTGTTTGATCGAAATAATATGGGAATCTTGTCGCGTGCTTTATCATAATACGAAAATATCTCCTGAAAAGCACAACCAATAGAGGAATCCCTTAACAGAACAAGATAGCTTAAAAGGTGTATTCTTCCAGTTATTTGTGCTTCAGTTTGTTTATAACTGTATTTAACAATATATATAACGGAGCAATTTGAATAAAGTATCTACAAAAAAGGTTGAAGTACGAATGCCCACACTACTGATGAATTCTATTTCGAACTGTTTTGGTGAACTGATACGTATAGGTGAAACGGAAACGAGTCCTCCTTCCTATCCCCCTTCCTCACCCTCCAACTGGAACATTTGAACACTGAAGAATTTGAAAATGATTACTGGATTCGTACAACGCTGTCTGTCCCGATTAGGATACAATCGGTACGAAACCGTACATCTCTTCATTATCCGTCTTCCTCTCTCTCTCTCTCTCACAAACACACACACCTTATCCCGTCCTATTCAGATCTTCCCTCATTCCATGCATCTCTTTCGGGGAGCAAGCCATGTACAAACAGGTGAAAAATGACAAAGGTTCTTGGGTTCGATGCTTTCAGGACTGGTTTGAGAGACTGAGCACGTTCACTCCTCCGTTTATCTATGCAAGAGGTCCGTTTCCATATCGCACCCCGGTGAACACTGTCAGTAAGTTTGTCGAGTGCCCAATCGGTTGCCTGATTGCGCCCGATAGAGATAGATTTTTATGGACTCAAGAAGATTTTCTCTGGTTATTATTATTGTTTCTACTGCCTCTACGGTCTAGAGTACTGGCCGATTGTGATGCACTAAAATATTTTCTTTATGATCAAATGGATTTTCATTATATTTATCACCTGTATTAATGCTTTAGGTATGTATAATAATTTATTCCATTTTGCCTGTTCGCCGAGCTTGGCAATTTGTTTGCAAACGTTTCATCACCAGCCGAGGTGACATCATCAGTGCTTGTGAAGTGGCAGTGTTCTGTCTGTAACCGTTCGTTTATATATGCGATCTTCTCCATCGGCTATTTTCG